CGGAGCTGAGTGGGGCAGCGCAGCAGAGATGGTCCAGACAGCTCCTGGCGTGCAGATGAATACTGCATGAGCAGAGGCTGGGTCAGCCGGGCCCTGCCAGGACGCGCCACAACTGACAGCCCATGACAGCACTTAGATCCATGTGCCGCACCAACAGTCCCAGATGACCGGGCTGGGAGGCTGCAGGCAGAGCCAGGAGCACCTGTGCCTCTGAGCCTGCATGTGTAGTATGTGCTGTAGGCGGACAAAGAGTGGCAGGCAGGTGAAAGTGACAGGCAGCCATTCCCACCAATGGCGGGATATCAGACTGCCTAAAATGTTGTCTATAGCATGGTAAATTTTTAAATTCCTACAGAAGGAATTCTGTTGCAAAATTCCTTTACTGTGAAGAATTTAATTTCAGCCAAGAAGTACAGATAACACACTAGTTTATTTTGAAGGTAAATCCACGTTTCCATACATCAAGTTTGCTTGAAGGGTAAGAGATACCTTTAAGCCATGAACACTTCCCCTGGGTTGGTGGTCATGCACAGATGGAATTTGTCAGGAGCAGCACGTAAAAGTGTCTTTCAGGGCTGGGCATGGTGGCTCACGCCCGTAATCCCAGCACTTTGGGAGGTTGAGGCGGGTGGATCACGACGTCAGGAGTTCGAGGCGAGCCTGGCTAACATGGCGAAACCCAATCTCTACTAAAAATACTACTAAAAAATAAAATTAGCCGGGCATGGTGGTGCATGGGTGCCTGTAGTCCCAGTTACTTGGGAGGCTGAGACAGGAGAATTGCTTGAACCTGGCAGGTGGAGGTTGCTGTGAGCTGAGATTGAGCCACTGCACTCCAGCCTGGGTGACAGAACAAGACTCCATCTCAAAAAAAAAAAGTGTCCTTCGTGTTAGCAAGTCAGCTCAGTTAATATAGCAGGGAGCAGAAGTCAGGTGTTTAACTCATTTCTAGAAGATATAAGTAATTTCCATCTGAATGGACCTGATCAAACAGATCCAAAGTCTTAGAAAATAAAAGGTTAAAACCCAAGCAAAAACTATATCTCACTCAATATATCCAGTAGTAAGAAGTCCTATTAGGCCTTTTCCAATAATACATCAGCTTCCAAATACAGCACATGACAAAGAAATACTTCAGGAAGATGGAGGAATGGGGAACTTGTTACCGTGCTGGCTGATGACCTTATTACAAGGCTCCAAACAGCTCTGAGGCCATGGTAGATACAGCACCATGGTCCTAGGGTTAGAAAGGAGCCCTAGAAGCAGCATGGACAATCTAATGCCCAAAGCATGGATGAGGCGCCTCCATGCCCAGGACTGCTCCCATCCACCGCTGCTAGAGCACCCAGGATAGGGCACAGCCCGCAAAACGCTCCTCTGGGAAGGGCTGCCCAGTCCACTTGGGGCACCTACACCTCTCGATGAGTAGCTGGGCAAGGACAAGCACATTGAGGGCATCAGATCCAAAGTAGTGACAGGCCTGAGGGCAACCTGCAGGCAAGGGAAATGGTCCCAGCCTTTCCTGCAGCCAAACTGCAGGGCTGGTCCTCAGGAAGAAGTTGCAAAATGATCCTGTTTGCAAAACACAAACACTCTGCAAACAGCAGCCACAGGAGTTAGGTAAATTCTAGAAATTCTCAGTCTTAGGTGCATTTGAAGAAGAATATTTTACTAGTTAGCATAAATTTGCTTAGCACTCTATGTCAAGGGCTTCCTGGCCAGTTAAATCCAGATTACTGCACCTGCATGGTTGACAATGCATCTAACCTCTTGGAAATATCAACCTCTTGCAAACGCAGGCTGTCTTACCACGTGGCACTTACATACAACAGGTGCTCAATAAATGTGCTGAAAGAAGTCAGTGTGTAAAGCATTCCTAAAGTAGGAATCCCCCGTGCTCCCTGGCTCCCTGAGGGTGCTTGAGGCCCAGGGGCTTGTTTGTGTCCCCACCTTCCGCTAGGGCCTAGCACGGTGCTCACTACACCCTAAGGGCCGGTTCAAGCTGCCACCTGTGAATTTTTTCCCTGCCTCATACTATCTTTTTCTGCACCATTCCTCTTCCTTTTGCTCCCTCAACATTTATCTCATGGGATTTGGAGTCATTAGCTTTGCAAATTATTGGGTTTCTGGCCCTTTACCTCACTGGAACAGTTGCCCTGCTGTAAAACGGGGTGAAAGTACCCTACCTGAAGACGAGAAATGAAGTGTGCGCAGTCTGGCCACGGGAAGGCGAAGTGGTCACTGTTACGACTTTCTTACGTAATTGTCCACATGCCCCACTGTCTAAAGGTGCTTAATACCAAAAGCAGAAAGTTTATTTGTTTTTCCTACCCCTGCAAGGGTGGTTTTGAGAAAGCCTATCTGTTTTGGAAAGAAACTGACCCAAGCCCATGTCACTAGTTAAAACATTTCCTTTTTCCTTTTTCTCAGGGAAATGACTCTGACTAGTCACGGCCAAACTGGGTAAAAGGTTCTGTTCTATAAGTTCATGTTCCAATTATATACAGTGATTAGGATTCCCAGATGGCTTGTTCTCTTTTTTTTTTTTTTTTTAATTTTACTTTAAGTTCCGGGATACACGTGTAGAATGTGCGGGTTTGTTATATAGGTATACATGTGCCATGGTGGTCTGCTGCACCTATCAACCTGTCATCTAGGTTTGAAGCCCCACATGCATTAGTTATTTGTCCTAATGCTCTCCCTCCTCTTGCCTTCCTCCACCTGCAGCCCAGCTCGTTCTCTTAAAAGAATCATCATAACGGAGTTTAGCTCGGGCAATAATGGATCTGCTTGGGTTCCACAACTTGGGTATCAGAAGGAAGGGAAGGGCTTCCTCACCTTTTCCAGAAGCAGGGCTGCCCTCAGCACTCTCTGGATCCCAAGGCACAGCCCCCAGGTCCCTGAACACACAGTGTCCTAAGTGCCCCCCTGCACCCACGCTGTCCTCCCAGTGCTTCAGAATTACCTCCTGACTCCACCCCCTGAGAAACAGGCTGGGAATATTTCAAGGAATACGCCAATTCACCTCAATGCACTTCTCCCAGCATTTCAGAGATAACTTCAGAGTGAAGAGAGGGAAGTATGGAGGAGGGGTCTGAAGACAGGAAGGGGTGACCCCCAGGATGGAGGTAATCCTGTGGAATACGCCCAAGTCAGTTGCCCTCAACTGGTCTGCGAGAGCACGAGTCCAAAACCCAATGCCTTCATCTAAATCCTGACGCCACCACGTTTTGTAGCCTTCTGTGCCCCACTTCCTAGTGTGAAAAGCAGGGATCATAACAGCACCCAGCCTGTCCGCTGTGGTGAGGACTGAGCGCGTTAAGACACATGGGCACTCAGGACAGAGCGTGGCACAGCCAGTGGTCTCTAAGCATCTCTGCTGCTGCCATCGCTGCGGTGCTCATCAGTGCCAGGTGCTGCTCTCCCACCCGTCCCTGTCCCCTCACAGCCCGACAATTCTCAGCCACAGCAAGGAGCTTTGGTGGTAGAGGAGGGAGGACTAGAACCTTTGTAAACTGACTTTCTATGGGCTGCAGACAGTCCATGCTAAAGGGTAGCTGCCATACCCCTGGGGGCTGCAGGTGAGCACTCTCCATCTTTCCCCTGACCAAGCTGCTCCTCCTCTCTTCCCAAGCTTCCAACACTGGCACTGGCTTCCCGGGACCCATGCCACCTCCAGACTTCAACTGGCAACCGAAAAGAGACAGGGGGCTCGGTGCAGTGGGGTGCCCATAATCCCAGCACTTTGAGAGGCTAAGGCAGGAGGACTGCTTGAGCCCAGGAGCTCAAAACCAAACTGGGCAACACAGAGAGAGTTTGTCTCTACGCAAAATTTAAAAATTAAGTCAGGTGTGGTGGTGTGGGCCTGTAGTCCCAGCTACTCAGGTGGCTGAGGTTGGGGAGATGGCCTGGGACCAGGAGGTCACGGCTGCAGTGAGCCGAGATCACACCACTCCAGCTGGGGCCACACAGCAAGAGGTTTCATTTTGCCTTTACACAGGAAAAGTCACTGTACAGATACAACACTATCTGCTGAAGAATTCAGTCTGGTTAACTCTGGCAGATACACAATTCAAAAGACACCTGCAGATGTGCCTAATGCAGGAAGACTCCTCTGTTAGATTCCCTCATACATAACACATGCACTCTGAGCCAGGCGCTAAAGAGACCTGGCCTAACAGAACATGAAAAAGATACTGTTGTCCTTGCCAAGGTACTCACTACTTAGCAGAAGCTCTTGCCCTTCCACCTCACCTTTCATCAAGGTATAAACCAACAGTCTCACTTCTCTCCTCTTTAATCTGATTTCTGTCTTCCCTTTCTCTTTTCTTTTAAGAGACAGGGTCTTACTCTCACCCAGGCTGGAATACAGCGGCATGATTATAGCTCACTGCAGCCTCGAACTCCTGGCCTCAAGTGATCCTCCCACCTCAGCTGTCTGAGCAGCTGGGACTATAGGTGTACACCACCATGCCCGGCTAATTTTTAAAATTTTTGTAGAGACAGGGTCTCACTATGTTGCCCAGGCTGGTCTCAAACTCCTGGTCTCAAGCAATACTCCTACCTTAGCCTCTTAAAGTGTTGGGATTACAGATGTGAGCCATTGCACCCAGCCTTTTTTTTTTTTTGAGACGGAGTCCTGCTTTGTCATCCAGGCTGGAGTGCAGTGTTGCAATCTCAGCTCACTGAAAGCTCCGCCTCCCAGGTTCACACCATTCTCCTGCCTCAGCCTCCCAGGTGACTACAGGCGCCTGCCACCACGCCCAGCTAATTTTTTTTGTATTACCGTGTTAGCCAGGATGGTCTCGATCTCCTGACTTCGTGATCCACCTGTCTTGGCCTCCCAAAGTGCTGGGATTACAGGCGTGAGCCACCGCGCCCAGCCGCCTTTTCTTTCTTT